ATCGTTTCTAGTGTTGCAGCTATGTGCTTCGAACACTTACTAAAGGATGAACTGCAGAACGAAGCTGAGAGGGAGATGGCTAAGGCCATTCATGCATGCATAGTCAATAACATTGCTGACACAATATTGGCAAACTATATACACTTCAATACGTCTATCCCTTAGTTAATGAAAGCACTTGAAGAACACTTTAACCCTCAGACAGCACATAAAAAGGCTATTGACAAATCAGCACTGTTTATTTGTAGAGACCATGTAAAACATTTCGGACGTACATTAGACAGACTTGAGGAAGCATATGCAACTCTGTCTGCTAACAGTGATCCACCATGCAACTCTACATACAAAGCAGCAATATTGCTTGCCACTCCTGAGCAATATACACATGTAGTAAATATGATAATACAATCTACTGATGCCCAAAACGAAGGCAAACTAGTCAATGAACATAAGAAAGTTGAACCAAAGCAACTAATCCTTGCATTACAGAATGCCTACAACGATTACTGTGCTAAACGAGCACAAGATTCCAATGATTGGACAAAGAATAATGCACACATTAATACAATGTATAAAGCCAATAAGCAGAGGAAATTCAATCTGCCAAATCCGTTCAATCTGACAAAAGCAAAATGTTTCAATTGTAGAAAAACAGGACATTTCTCTAAGGAATGCTGCAAACCTCCTACTGAAGCTACAAAGCTTGCATGTGCCAAACATCAGGCTAACATTGCACATAAAACAAATCAAACTGTGGAAAACACAATGAACACATTTATTATTGAAAACCCAAACGAAAACAATGTTGAATTAAAGGAAAGCAATGTTGAAATGAATGATAACGTCTACACTCTTATTCTGAGCAACCAGGACAAACAATTCAAACAATACGTTTCCTGGGTATGTACTAACGTATTTACAAATACAATCATAGCTAACAAGAAATCCTATACACAAACAATGGATTTACTCGATTCTGGTGCATCAATACATGCTACTCCTTATCTATTTCAATTAACAGATGTACACAACATAACTCCTACAATTGTAACTATTGTAAATAGGTCAACAATGACTCTTAATCGAGCTGGATCTATGTGTATCAAAATCCTGAAGAATATATGAGAAAAAAGCGTCATAACATTACAAAACGTCTATTACTATCCACAAATGACCTTTTCCCTCATAAGTCAAGTGCTACTATGTAGGGAAGGTTATTCTTTTATGTTTACAAACAATAATTGTACTATAACATCACCATGTAACGAATACATTGGACATATACGATTGAGAAATAACTTGTATATTTTGTACAATAATTATTTATTAAAAACAATGAACAAACTATCTATTTATGATATACATAAATGCTTTGGACACATAAGTTACGATTATATTAAACGATTATTAAAGACACAACCAAGTGTACTATCAACTAAAATAATGAACTATGAAGAAAAAGAATGTATTGAATGCATAAAAGCAAATATCAAACGTACACCAATACCAAAACTATGTCAATCTCCTCTTACAAATCAATTTGGAGATCTTATTCATATTGATATTGTTGGTCCTATTGAACTGCACACATATAAGAACATACACTACTTATTAACAATTGTAGACGATTCTACTTGTTGGTGCATAATGCTCAAATTACAAACAAAATCTGATGCATATATGTAATACGTATGATGGACAACTAAAATATTTACACAGCACAGAGTTAAAATAAAACTTTTACAAAGTGATAATGATACTGTATTCCTTAGTGAAGATTTCCAACAATATTTAGATTCACAAGGAACAAAACGAAGATTAACAGTACATCATACTCTACAACAGAACAGAATAGTGGAACAAACACATAAAACTATATTTAGAGGTGTAAGAGCATATCTAACATCTACTGAATTACTGTTTACATTATGGGCCAAAGCAGCAATTCATATTACTTATATTCATAATAGAACACTGTGTGCTGCTTTAAATTATAATACCCCACATTACAAACGTTACAGAACACACAGAACAATTGATAATATATACGAATTTGGTCAATATATTATCATTTGCAATGAAATCCTACAAAAAT